ATAATGGTGGATTCACTGAAGAATCCCCAATTGGCCCTGTTGCCTCACTGTGGGCTCTGAACAGGACACCCTTCAGTGCTTTTGCTGCCTGATTCACCCAAACCAGGGGGTCTTCAAACTTGGCAAGTTTAAGATGTGTGGACTTCAACTCCCAGAATTCCTCGAATCATGTTAGCTCAGGAATTCTGGGAGTTGGAAGCCCACAAGTCTTAAACTTGCCAAGTTTGAAGAGCCTTGACCTGCATACCAGGCAGAGGCTGCATTTCCTGGTCCTTTTAATGGCTGCCTGGCAATGGGAACCAAAGGGGGCTTCACACGTCCTAGATAGAGGAGGAGGAGGATTTCCACCTGGGCAAAAAGATTGCAGACCAGGGACCCAAAGGGGCCAAATGCACATATGAAATCTGGCCATAAAGGAAGAAAGTCCAGTCTGGATTCAGATGCTCACCTCTCCTGAGAAGCATCTCCTTCCCGTAGGACAGGTGCTTCTCCAGCCACTTGATGCAGACTTCCTCCAGATAGGCCTTCCCTCTCCAATTATATACTGGACTAGCATCCCATTTCCTCTTGGAGATCTGGGCTTGGGGGTCAGGAGCCACCCAGGTGAGGATATCCTTGTCGAAGGTGAGGAAGGTCCTCCCATCGTAGCCATATTGGTCAAATCCACCCCTGCTCCCGTCACCCCGGAGCTCACAGCCATACATCCTCTGCCATGTGTGAAGGCCTGAAATAGAGACGGGAGGATGGTTTGTGGAGTCCTCAAAAGACACACACACACACACACACACACTCCCTGTAGGAACTTTGAGACTGGAGGAAGGCACGGATGCCTGGATTTCCTCCATAGGAAATCCCCTCCAATTGTCCTTTTTCCCCACTCCCTATAGATGGCCTGGTTCCGAAATCTTCGTAGGGGGCAGGAAATGGGCCACTGGCAAACCCCCCCTATCAGCAAGCAGGACCAAGGCAAGATAGAGACACAGAAAAAATGGAGGGACGGAGCCATCTTTCTTTTCCATCAGCCCATGGAACAGAAGTTGCCCTCGGAAGTTGTGGGAGCTTCATCGCTTGAGACTTTCAAGATTGGACTGCCATTTGTCAGAAATGATGTAGGGTCTCCCGCTTAGGCGGGGGGTTGGACTAGATGACCTACAAGGTCCCTTCCAACTCTGATTATCTGTTAAATTTCTTCTGCTCATCTGCTAGGGTAAGCCTTTGGGGGGAAGGGGAGAGACCCCCACCAGCTTTCATGAGGGAGAGGAAATTTTGGTCTGTGGAGATACTGGTCACGGTTTTCCCAAAGGTGCTTTTTTCTTTTCAAAAGGCAACTCGACTGTTTTGTTTTCTTTGAAGACGTTTTGCTTCTCATCCAAGAAGCTTCTTTAGTTCTGACTCTTGGTCTGTCCCTTACCTCATTTTATATCAATATCAATATTCATATCCATAGCCATAGGCAGACAGACAGATGGGATACCTTTAAAAATAACTGCAATTTGCAGAAAAAGTCAGCTACGGAAGCAAGGGCAATGTTAAATTAAATGTGAAAATATTAAACATATTCCTTGGGATTCCAGATTCCTGAGGGGGGGAGGAATATATATTGCAGGATGAGCCACCCAACCAGAGGTGGTATTCAGCAGGTTCTGACCAGTTCTGGAGAACCAGTAGCAGAAATTTTGAGTAGTTCAGAGAACCGGCAAATGCCACCTCTGACTGGCCCCGCCCCCATCTCTTTTCTGCCTCCCATTGAGTCCCAGCTGATCGGCTGGGTCTTCTTTGGTTGCCCTGCACAGGAGAACGGAACTGGAAAGCAGGTTAGTGGGGTGGGGAGAGAATGGGGGGTTTGCAGTAACTTTCCCCCAGGAGTGGGGAGGGAATGGGGATTTTGCAGTATCCTTCCCCTGCCACACCCACCAAGCCACGCCCACCAAGCCACACCCACCAAGCACAGGATCGGTAGTAAAAAAAAATTGAATCCCCCCATGGCACTCGACCCATCGCTCACTTTTGCTCTGATTGTAGCGAAGCCTCAGAGTCTCTAGGTCTCCTCTGGATGCCTCCTCAGTGTCACGTGCCATCTGGGTGTTTCTCACCCAGTATTTGGGGTCCTCCTTCCCCACCTTCTCCATCCAGGAGACTCGAGACTCCAACTTCCGGCTGTGGCTGTCGTAGTGAAGGAAGACCTGACCGTCCACAAACCCCATGGCCACATGGTAGGGCTGCCCCTGATTTGGGTCCGAGATGGAGGTGAAGCAATACTTCATGGAATGCGAGGAGGTGCCTGGAAGGGATCCAGATGGGCAGGAATTCATTTAACAACGGAGGTCGTAAAATGGGGCAAAACTCGCTTAACAAATATCTCACGTAGCAACAGAAATTTTGGACCCAATTGTGATCGTAAGTCGAGGACTACCCTGTTTCCTGAAAATAAGACCCAACTGGAAAATAAGCCCTAGCAGGTTTTTTCCCCAGGATGCTCATAATATAAGTCCTACCCCAAAAATAAACCCCAGTTAAGATTGTCAGCCAGCCAGACACAATTAGTACCCTATTTCCCTGAAAATAAGACCTAACCAGAACTTAAGTCCTAATGCAAAAATTAATATAAGACCCAGTCTTATTTTTGGGGGGGAGACACGGTAGTATTCTCTCCCTGAGCTCTGTGTGTAGAGACAAATTTATGATCTCCTGGAGACAAATATGGAAAGTTATTACGAGTAAAGGAGAATATTTGTCGCTCAGGGTTGAACTGAGGGGTTATTAGTGGTCTCTGAGCTTGCTTGTTTTTTTTGCAGATGTTTCATGAACTAAACTAGGTTAACATCTTCAGTGTTAGTGCTAGATTAGCATTGACGATGTTACCCAATTTGGGTAATGAAAAGCCTGCAAGAAAACAATCAGGGTTAGAAAGCACCAAGGACCCCTCCGAGTTATTCCTATTTCTATCATGCAAACCCTGATCCAGGAGCATCAAAAAGTTTTCAGCCCTTCCTCAGAAGATAGGCTAAATTTATAAGACATAAACAGGAATGGGATTCAAATTGCTTAACAACCGGTTCTGTGGGCGTGGCCTAATTTGTGGGCGTGGTTTGGTGGTCATGTGACTCGATGGGCGTGGCTTGCTGACTGGGCACGGCTTGGTAGTCACGTGACTAGCTGGGCGTGGCTTGTAGGTGAATATTGTAAATATTTATGTAAATATTGAATTTTTTATTTTAAAAAAGAGCAACTTTTACCCCAAATCAGGCAAAGCAGGCAGGCAGATTGAGTTGCTCCCAGAATCACAGATTCATTCAGATATCTATCTTTCTGCAATCTGCTACCTGAGTCTGCACTGAAAAATAGAAGCTAGAAAGCTTTTAGATTAGCTAGAAAGCAAGAAATCCAACGATTTCCTACTTTTTAGCTAATCTAAATCTGGCATAGCTGATGGTCGGGGGGGGAAAAAAGGAAAAATAGAAACTTACCAAAAATTTACTGGTGCGACCAGGTAGAATCCTACCCCTGGGCATAAACAATGTCCACTTCTACTAACAACTACCCCGCTCCCCCCCCCCCCAAAAAAAAACCCATCACATAAAATATCTATTTAGCTTGAAATGTCAAAATACAAACACAGAAAAGGTTCCAGTGGGGGGGGTGGGCAAAGAACAGGAAAAATTAAGATAATTAAAGGAAAATGTTTCCCTTGGGAAATCTGCAAGGCTGCTCAATCCTGGGGCCTACTGCCATTGGGGGAAAAAAACAGCCCATTTTGAAAGCTGTTCAGCTCAGCAATTCTTCCAGGGCACTAAAGACTTTCAAGATTATTCACAGAACTTTTTTGGACATTAACCCGAGTTTGCACAGAAAAAGGCAGGGCCTGCCCAGCCCAGAGAAGTAGAGGCTGAAGTCCGATTGCCCTTCCCTTTGGAAGTGTCTCCCAGTCCTTCCCAGTCCAAGGCAAAGGCCTGGGCCTCCTCCTTCCTGCTCCTCCCCACAATCCCAGGGGCTTCTCAGAGCTTTTGGGGAGAGGGATCCCAGATCCACTTCCTGCTCTGGGGAGATTTCAGAATCCGAAAGGGATCAGAGCTTTTCCCTAACAGAAGGAGGGGGGATCGGACTCTCCCTGATCCAGAACCGGCTTCTTTCAGGGACGTCTATGTCCATTTTTTGGCAGTAGCCAAAGAAGCGAATACAATCCTTGGTTGTATAAACAGAGGCATAGAATCAAAATCACGTGAAGTTATCAGTACCGCCTTATAAAGCCTTAGTAAGGCCTGCCACACCTGGAATGCTGCCTCCGATTTTGGTCACCATATTACAAAAAAAGATGTCGAGGCTTTGGAAAAAGTGCAAAGAAGAGCAACTAAGATGATTAAAAGCCTGGAGGTTAAAACATATGAAGAACGGTTGCTGGATTTGGGTTTGGCTCGTCTAGAGCAGGGGGGTCTCGAAACTTGGCCACCCACAAAGATGGCTGTGGAATTCTGGGAGTTGAAGTCCACAAGTCTTAAAGTGGCCAAGGTTGGAGACCCCCCTTCTCTAGAGAATAGGAGGACTGGGGGTGGGGGAGGGAGGCATGATAGCAGTATTCCAGTATTTAAGAAGCTGTGAGAAAGAAGAGGGGGTCAAGCTATTCTCCAAAGAACCTGAGGGCAGGACAAGAAACAATGGATGGGAACTGATCAAGGAGAGAAACAACCTGGAATTAAGGATAAATTTCCTAATTGTTCCTGTGAGGACAATTAACAGCTTGCCTCCAGAAATTGTGGGTGCTGCATCACTCGTGGTTTTTCAGAAGAGACTGGGCAGCCACTTGTCTGAAATGGTATAGACTAGAGCAGGGGTTGGACTAGAAGACCTCCAAGGTCCCTTCCAGCTCTATTCTGATTCTGATTCTGGTCACCATCCAGAGGTGCTTCTCTTCTTTTACCTTCAACCCAATGAAGAAGATCCTGCCAACTTTTAAAATGTTTTTTTTTTGAAAAGCTGCTGCATTTATATTTTCCCCGAGCAAATAACTAGGAACACCCCAAGAGCTCTGCCTGATTACTAAAGAATAACAATACATTTTAAATACAGGTAGTCCTTGACTTACAACAGTTTAGTGAACCTTCAAAGAAGGTTTAGTGAACCTTCAAAGTTACAACGGCTCTGGAAAAAGTGACATAACCGTTTTTCACAGTTACATCCTTTCCAGCACACCATGGTCCCCTGATCAACATTAAGCCGCTTGGCAACCGATTCATATTTATGATGGTTGCAGTGTCCCCGGGTCATGCATCCCTTTTTGCAACCTTTTGACAAGCAAGGTCCATGGGGAAGCCAGATTCGCTTAACAACCAGGTTGCTAACTGATCCACTGCAACCTTCGCCCAATTGCTCCACTGCAACAGCCTCTCATTTGGCAAATGACACCCAGGTGTTCCTAGAAATGGGCTGAATCCTCCCAGCACCAAAGCTACAAAGCCCACCCAGCCTCCTAAAGGCAGGAAAGATGGAGGGGTCGTGCAAAGGCAGCCAGGAGGTTGTGAATTGACCTGATCCCGCTTTCCAACAACCTCTGCTTTAAAACAGGGAAAGGATTGCGCTTTGGGGCTTCCCAGGTAGACTTGACGGACACCTGGAGGGGCCACCTTTGTCCTGATCCCAGTGGGGCTCTCCTGGATTTGGGGGAGGGGGTGGAAAGCAGCAGCTTTGGGGCATAATATCAAAGTGGCCAGAGGAGGAGGGGGAGCGGACTAAAAAGAGGACTGAATCAGGAATCTCTGTCTGGGTATGTATTACCCTTTGCAGAGGGATGGGGGTAGGAGAAAGTTTCCGTGGCACTTAAAAGGGGCGGAAACCCACCCACCCTCCAGACCCCCAAAGGGACTCACCAAAGCAGCTCTCCCTCAGGGCCACAGCCACCAACACCAGGAGCAAGAGGGGCGCAGAGCGCAGAGCCATCCTGGCCGCGATCCTCAAACCTGTGCCC